GTCGTTCACTCGTTTGCCTCGGGCGCGATCTTTGCGGCCGCGGTGTTCCTTCTGCTGCCAGAGGGCCTGTACCTGGCCAGCTTGAATTGAATGCCCTCTCAGATCGGCGGTGCGTCGTGGCTGTCGGGCCCCCCGCCAACGAGACGCCACGAGTCGCCTGTGGGCCCCCATCCCCAGCGTTCGGGGCGCTAGTGTTCCTCCTGCAGGCCCTCAGGGCGAAGTGGCACAAGCTGAAACTCACAGAGGCAGGCCCGCAAGCTGCTGCGGCTCACGGGTATCATACAGTGGGGGCCAGTCCACAAGAAACCTTACACACCCCCTCGGGACCGTCAAAAAACGACTCAGGAAAATGTGGCAGGGATGTTCCCTGCACACGGCCAGAGCAAAAGACGAGACAAAACATCTCGCAGACTGCCACACGGCGTGCCTATGCGGGCGGCGTTGGTCGCCGTCGGTCCCGATCGTCGGTCGCGGGCAAGGAGTCGGCCCGACCTTGGCCCGCGCACGGTCGCTGCAGACCAAGCCCTAGAGACGCCTTCAGACGCCGGGCCTCCGGTCGCAGGAGCAGGAAAGGGAGGAGGAGGAGGAGGAGGAGGAGGGGCAAGAAGAAAAAACATTGCGAACAAACGCCGAACAGGACAGGAGGAGGGAGGGGAGCGGCAGAGGCAGCGCAGAGCAAGCAGGAACGAGGGGGCGGACGGAGGAGGTCGTCGTCGTGGACGGGGGAGGGGGCGGTCGTGGTCAGGGCAGGGCGTCGGGGGCGTTGGTCGTCGGGGGCGGTCGTGGTCGTCGGGGAGGGTCGTGGTCGCCGGGGCGGTCGTGGTCAGGGCAGGGCGTCGGGGGCGTTGGTCGTCGGGGGCTGTCGTGGTCGTCGGGGGCGGTCGTTGTCGTCGGGGCGGTCGTGGTCAAGTCAGGGCAGGGCGTCGGGGGCGGTCGCGGTCGTTGGGGCGGGCCGGGGGCGGTGGTCGTAGTCAGGGGAGGGGGAGTGGGCCGGCGGCTCAGGCGGCGTCGGCCGCGTTGGCCGCCGTGGCCGCCGCAAACCTGGCCGCCGGCGCCCCGACCGGCGCCTGTAGCCTGCGGAGCACGGCCCGCGCGTTCTCCCTTTGGAGGAGATGCGAGAGTCGCTGGGCATGCTCCGCCGCCACCTGCGAGGGGTCGTCCCCCGTGGCGTCTGCCGCGCGCTTGGCCAGGACGGCCAGGGCGCGTCGCGCCTCCTTGCCCCAGCCGCCGCCGTGCGCCTCGACCACCATGGGAATGAAGGTGATCCCCGCGGCGGCGCAGCTGCGCTCGGCGTTGAGGAAGAGGCGTTTTTGCTCCTCGTAGCGCTCGGCGCCAGGCTCGGCAGCCGAGGCGGCGAGCAGGTCGCCCCGCAGCCCCGAGGTGACCGCGAAGTCAAGGGCGGCCGGGGCGCCGTTACGCCAACGGGGAATATACACATCCGCCGGGCGTCGGCCGCCGTCGTCGAGCTCGCCGCCGTTCTCTTCCGCCCCAGGCGAGCCCTCGCCGCTCGCGCGAGGCTGCAGAAGGCCAGGCCGTTCGAGCTCGGAGCCTGGGAACCCCGCGGCTTGCGCAGCGAAGAAAGCCTGGTCTCGTAAGGCGTTGTGCCGCTTGACTCGCCCCCCTCGGCAAGGACAGACCAGCGCGTGGTCGCCGTGGACGTCGAGGATGCCGTCGCAAGCCGGGCAGAAGGTCTCTGCGTCCGCCAGCTGCACCCGCAAGCGCCTCTGCAGAGCAATCTGCATCAAGCCGCGCGGGAACTCCGTGCCAACCTCAGCACAGGGCCGCGCCTGCAGCCAGCCGCTGGCGCCAGGGGCACTGACCAGCGAGAGGTGGGCCCTGGTGGCGGGGCAAGCGCGTTCCCAGAGTTCGGCCTTGGCGGCCTGGTCCAGCCGGTCAGAGAGCCCCCGCTGGTTGCCGTGCTGGCTGGCGTCGAAAGCGATCCGATCTGCCAGTTGTAACCGGGCGTTGTAGGCCGCCGCGGCAGCACCCAGGGCGCCGTCGGCGCCGGTGTCGTCGTCGGAGTAGCCCGCCCAGAGCTGCTGGCAGAGCGCAGAGCAGGCCGCGCGGGAAGCCAAGTAGGCGGCGGGCGCGTGGCGCTCCGCCGAGCGCAGCCCCAGGCCGCCTGCCTTGAGGGCGAGCTGCGCCTGTGCCCAGGAGTCGTCCGTGGGGGAGCTGCTGCTCAGCTGCTCGAGGCTGGCGCGCACTGCGTTGTCCAGCTTGACCAGCGCTTCCGTGTGCACACTGGGCGGGGCAACCCGCGCCGAGTAGCTGAGTCTGCAGAAGCCGGCGCACTGCCGTAGCAGGTGGAGCGCAACCTGGGCGTGCTCGAGGGCGCCGAGTGCATCAAGGAGCTCGGTGGCCTTGTCGACTCGCTGCCGTGTGTGCTCGAGGCAGAAGGCGTCGCTGCCGACTGGCGCGCCCAGGAGCTCGAAGCAGCCGTCCGCGCGCAGGCGGAAGCCCGGGGGGAAGGCCTGCAGATCCACCTCGCTGTCGTTACCGCCAGTGGGGACCACTTCACATTTCCCGGGCCCCGTGCTCAGGCGGAGTCCCACGGTCGCCAGCTCTCCCACCAGCAGGTGGAGCAGGCGCGCCACGGCCTGCCAGTCGCCCGCAAGGGTGCCGTCGTCGAGGAAAAAGAAAGTCAGGTCCAGGGCGCCCGCGGCCGCGGGGGCGGGCTGGCGGAGAGCCCTCTCGGCAGCGCGCTGCAGCGCTAGGGAGAAGAGCAGCGGCCCCAGTGGGTCCCCCTGCTGCGCGCCGCATTCCGAGCGGATCGAGTGCCGGCCGAGCCAGAGCAGGGAGGGGGCCCGGTAGCACCAGGAAGCCCAGGGCGCAAGAGCGGGCAGCTCCTCGTGCACCGCTTGCAGGAGGGCTTGGCGGTCGAGGGTGTTGAAAGCGTTGCTTAAGTCAAGCTTAACGAACACCTTCTGCCTGCTGCCAGCGTGGCGCGCGAACCACTGTCGGGGCACGTGAACCGCAGCCTCGCAGCCGCCCGGGAGGGCGACGCCTACCTGCAGGGGGGCGAGGCGGTCTCGGGCGGCGTCAGAGACTTGGCTGCAAAGGCACTTCGCCACCAGGCGCCGCACGGTCTCCCCCACGGCCACCGGTCGAAGGCCGCCGTCCTTCTTGGGCAGGGCCACCAGCGAGGCGCCAGCCAGGTAGTCCGCCACGCCGGGGGGGGGCTTGACCCTTCGCGAGGAGGTTGGTGAGGCCGAGCAGCTGCTGCAGCACCTCGTCGCGGTGGGCCGCCGTCTGCAGCGCGTCCTTGAGGCGTTGCGGCCGCAAGCCAGAGGGGCCCGGAGCGGAGCCCCGAGGGAAGGCCCGCATCTCGCGCTCGAGCGAGGCGGTGTCTAGCTGCGGCACCGCCGCCGCGTTGACCGCGGGGAGGCTGGCGGCGTCCACGGGTCGCTGGCTGCTTGGGTGCTTCTGACGCATCTGCTCCAGCACAGCTGTGGTGACCTCCGCCGGGGGCTCGCTGGTGAGCGCTGAGCAGCCCTTGGAGTGCTGCGCGTCCGCCGAGAGTTCCAGGCAGCGCTGCGCTCTCTGAGCCGCGCGGGAGGGTTTTGCAGTGGCTCGCCTGTCCGCGGTCTCCGCCCAGAGCGAAGCGCTCTCTCCCTCCAGCCAGCGCTGGCAGAGGTTCTTGGTCAGAGCTTCCGCCGCGCTCCTGCTGCCGCGGCCCCCGCGCGTGCGCGGGCGGATGACGCACTTGGGCAGCATGGCAAACTGGAGCCACGCCTCCTCCGCATTTCGGTGCACGGCGAGCGCCGCCGCCTGCGCCAGGCAGCGGGCCCACAGGACCCGCGCCCCCTTGGGCACGTAGTGCTTTGTGCTGGCTCGTCGGGAAAAGACCTCTTGCCAGGTAGGCAAGCCGCGCGGCCGGGGGGCGCCGTCGTCAGCCGCCGGCGCGGCCTCGGCAGCAGCAGCTCGCGCAGGGGGGCGGCACCGCGGACGCACGCGCCCGTGGCGCGAGCGGAGGTACCGCTGGCAAACCGAGCATTGTGACAAGCTGTGTTCGTCCAAATATGCTTGTGGTACCGGCGGCGGGCCCGGAAATCTGCCGGCCGCATGCTCATTAATATGCGGGCGCATGGCCCCGTGGTCTGCCCAACAAGCGCTGGAGGCGAGGTCCGCGCGGGGGCAGCCCGGGGCAGGACAGCCGACCCGCGCGCGCCGGGCACGCCGTTGTGGAGGGGCTGCGGCGTCGTCTGCAGGGGCGGGCGGCGGCGGAACCTGCGAGTCTGGAGCTGCGGCCGCTGGCGGGGCAGCCAGGGGCTGATCGGCGGGGGCCGCGGCGGCGGCAGGCAGACCGTGCACCGCCGGTGGAGCAGCCGCGGGCGGCGGGACAGGGGCAACGGCGGCCGCGGCCGGCGGCGGGGCCGCAGCGGCGGAGCTCGCGGCGGCCGCGCGGCGGATCTCTGGCAGGGGGGCGCCGGCATCGACATTCATGTCCCGCTCGGGGTCGATGTTCAGTTCTCCCATCCTCAAGCCCAGGCGGGGGACTGGGTCAGGATCATCCCCCTCGGTGCGGCTCCGCCGAAGTCGGCGCCCGGGCGACTCCCCAACGGGTGCAATCTCGAGAAAAGTGTTGCGGACGCCAACCTCGTGACGAGCAGGCTGAGGTGCCTCCGCCGTTGGCCTGGGCGAAGGGAAGCCCGCTGATGTTGCTGGCTGCTGCGGCGCCGCCCCCGGTGGAGGGGAACGGCTGCGGGCCCTGCTGTCCAGAGCGCCACCCGAAGAAGGCCGTGGCCGATGATCTCCCCCCTCTCCTCCCCCTCCACGGCGGCAGATGCAGCGCGTGCGTTCGACGAGACACATGCGGCACACGTCCGAGTCAGAGCCCGCGGGGAATGCGGGCGACAGCACGGAACGGATAAACAGAGCGGCGTGCCCTGCCCACGCCATTGGCGACGAAAAGCATGTGTAGTACCACCCCGGGCTCAGCGCAATGGTGGCCATGACCGTGATGGACGTGCAGATCGGCTGCGAGAAATGAACATCTCCGACTAAAGCGGCACCACAAACTCCAGCAAGGGCACGCTGAAGAGGATCTCCGTGCAGAGCCGCCCCAAACACGAGGAATTTCAAGGGCGCCGAAGTCGCGCAGGAGGCCGCCATCATCAAGACCGGGTGGATCGCGCTGGGGATCGCCTGCCCCAGAACGGCGTGGACGTATTCGGCCAAACATGCGCTGGCTAACGCCGGGGGGGCCCAGCTCATAGCGTCGATGAGCAGGCCTGGCAGGGGGCGCGCGCAAAAGTACGCAGCGTCCAGCGTGGTCGACATCGCCGGCCACACCATGCGGAGGATCCTGTTGATCGGGGCCGCGACCGCTGCTGGCGCCTGCGGCCACATGGCCTGGGGCATGCCGTCGCCAAGGGGGCTAGACGATGTGCTGGTAGCTCCGGAGGCGCTCGCGGCGCAGCTGCGGAGGTGGGAGTGGAGGTACAACTCCGCCGGCGAGGTGCGCGCCGCCGCCGGGCCAGGCGCAGCAGCCACAGCGCGCACGCCGAGGCGAGGGATGGCGGGCGCGAACAGGTTGAAGCCGCTCGAGGCGTCGGTCCTGGTGGACGGGGCCGGAGCACAGTCCTTGGGCAGGGAACTTCCGGATACATCACAACAGGGGGAGGGGAAGGTGGTGCAGATGTGGGGCAGGGGAGAGGCAATGGACAAAATGTTGGGGCAGGTCTGAAACCGGGTCCCGTGTCCCCCTGGGGAGGCCGGTGGCTGGGCGAGACGGCGGGGGGGTTCCCCCAGCGGCAAGGCCTTCGCGGGGCCTCTCGACGGTCAGTTTGGGGGGTGCCCGTGGGTTCGCGGATTCGGGCTCCCATAGTCCTCGACTGGTTCTGAGACGAGCCTGGCAGCAGCCCCGGGGCCTCGGAAGGGCCATCGATGGTGTCGCAAATGTCCGCGAAGAGCGCAGAGCTGGAATCTTCAGCGCTGATGCCCATGAAGGGGGGCACCTCCAGCTGGTGCGGACCGAGAGAGTCCGCGTAGCCTCCGAGCCACGGGTCGAACGGCCCGCGCGTCGAGTTGCGCAGCGTCGAACCGATCGCGCAGCTGTGCATGCGGAAGTCCTGCCTGACCTGGCACTGGTGGGCGTGGAGGTGGGGCGACGCCATCGTCAAGTCGCTGTCCATGCAGATCGCCATCATCGAGGGCTTCACGGCGGTGGAGTCCCAGAGGGTCACCTGCAGAATGTCGACCAGGGCGCTGAACTCGGCCGCCACGTCGCGCGCCGTCGCCCGTAGGGCGTCGAAGTACGCATCAGTGCTGCCGACACGGTCCCCGGGCAGGTCGAACTGGAGCCAGGAGCCCTCCGCGTGCAGCAGCAGCACGGCGCGAAGCGCCAGCGAGGGGCTGGCGGGTTCCTCAGGCAGGGCAGCCCTAAAGGAAGACAAATCGACCACTTTACCGCACCCCACGAACCAGTCATGCTGGCGCGGGGACGGACGATGGGGAGGCAGGGGAGGAGAGGAAGGGCAGGGAGGGTAAGGCAGCCAGGAGAAGTGAGTGGGGAGGGGCACGGCAGGGCAATGCCGCCACCCAAACGCGTCGGCCTCGACGAGGTGAATGGCCACGCTCCCCAGAGCCCTCGCAAGCACGCACCTGGCGCCCCCCGGAAAGCTCTCGCGAGAAGCAGCTTGGCTCCTGGGAGGGGGGGGTTCAACCGGCGTCCTGTCCGCTTTCAGCATTCCCTGTGTCCCCGGAGCTGTCCACGGCGCGGCGGCCGCGCAGGCGGGCGAGGCGTCCAGGTGGCAGCGCAGCGAGTGGGGGTTGGCCCAGTCGTGGTGGACGAGGTGGTACAGCTCGTTTCGGCGCTGCTGATCGGCGGCGTGGTGCTCAACTCCGTCGGCGTCATGCTGGGTCGAGGCGTCACGTCGGGCGTCGGGCTGGGGTGGGGCGTCGGATAGAGCGACGGGTTGGGGAACGGCGTTGCCCTCCTGCACCAGGGCCCCGTCGAAGAGGTAGGCCATCGGCGGCGGGATGGGGGAGGGCGTCGGGCTGGGGCGAGGCGCCATGTACGGCGTCGTGCTGTGGTGCATCGTCGAGTAGGGCGTCGTGGGGCTTGGAGTCGGGTAGGGCGTCGGGCTGGGGTGGGGCGTTGGGTGCGGCGACGCGCTGGACCAGGGCGTCGGGTACGACGGCGGGCTGGGAAGCGGCGTCGGGTAGGGCATCTGGCTGGGGCAGGGCGTCGGGCTGGGATGTGTCGTCGAAAAGAGCGCCGTGCTTGGGTGGGGCATCGTGTATGGCGTCGTGTTATGGCAGGGCGTCGGGAAGGGCGTCGGGCTAGGGTGGGGCGACGGGCTGGGATGTGTCGTCGGGAAGGGTGTCGTGCTCGGGTGGGGCGTCGGGCATGGCGTCGTGATAGGGCAGGGCGTCGGGTGAGGCGTCGGGCTGGGATTGGGCGTCGAGTAAAGCGCCAGGATGGGGTAGGGCGTTGGTCGGGCACGGGCGTCGGCGTCGTGAGGGTGTCGGTCGTCTGGCGGCCGAGGACGCACAGGTGTCTTGGGTCGTGGGGGTCGGCGGGGGAGCAGGCAAGCAGGCAAGCAGCTAGACGAGTGGCGCGGAGAGCTAGGGGAGCGGAGAGTCTGCTCAGCGCATTCGGGGGGCGAGGGGGCTGAAGGCAGAGAGTGGTGCTGCATCTGTGAGGCTCGAGGGCGCCGTGCCATTACCACGACCGCGTCCGAGCTCACCGAATTCGGGATTGGAGGAGGGGGGCAGGAGGACGGGAAGAGGAACATACAGGGAGAGGAAAAGGAGCATGCACAGGCGTCATCCCGCGGCGCCTGGTCGAGAGCGAACCCCACGCTCTCGTGCAAAAACTTGGCCTCAGTCGGGCAGGGGGCGTCGCACCGGTAGTCGACCTTCACCGTGTAGTTGCTGTCGAGCTCACTGCTGAACACGTCCACGAGCACGGAGCCCTGCGCGAGGACGACAGCCACCTCCGCGGCGTCAACGCCCGCCGCTGCGGCGATCTTCTCCCGGCACGCGCTCTGCAGCCGCTCGATGTCGGGCGAGCCGAGCCCGCCGAAGCCGACGTTGCTGACGACGATCGACGCGGCCGGCGCCTTCGGCGTCGGCGGCGGAACCGGCGTCGGCGCCGGCGTGTGGAGTAGAAGCGCGTCCTTGGGGACCATCTTGGATACAGCGGAGGTGGCGCTGTGCTCGCCGCGCAGGGGGTAGGCCAGGTGGAACTCGCAGTCACCATCGGCAGCACTCGCAGTGATGCTGGTGATCATGTTCATCTCGTAGTGCCCCTCTTCGCTGGACAGCTCGATCTTGTCGCCCATGTCGAAATCGCCGCAGCCCTCTTCCATCGCGAGAACGGTGCTGCCCGCCGGCTCGGCAGACTTCACGGGCCTCGTGAAGCGCGCGAATTGGGCCGCCTCCATGGCGTCGTGCTCCGTCAAGATGTCGTCCGTGGGCGGCAGCGAGGCCACCGTCGCGCCCTCTGGGTGCGAGAACTGGAGGCCGCTGTACAGGCGCAGGGTGCTGGTCTCGGCATAGACCCGCTCGATCCTGTGGAGATCCTCGAGCGTGGTCCCTCGCTCTAGGACGAGCATGTGGTCCTCGACCATCATGCCGGCATCCTCCGCGGAGAGGTGGACGAACGCCTGTCCCACGAGCGCCAGGCTCACGCCGCCGCGGGCCCCCCGCGGGGCGGGCCGCCGGCCCGCCAGCGGGCCGGCGCCGGCGCCGAGCGCGAAGAGGCACGCCAGGAGCGCGGCCGCGGCGGGGCCGCCCAGCGGCGCCGCGGGGAGAGCGGCCCGGGGCCTCCGCGTGCCGCGCATGCCGCCGAGGAGGTCCTCCTGCGGCGACCCGACGTCGAGCGCCCTCTCCGAGGCCCCATCGAGCCCGGGCGGCGAGCGCCACGTCAGCATCTTGCGCTGCGTGCTCCCGCCGGGAGCGGGGCCCTGCGGTGGCGCCCGCGCCTCCAACCTCTCGGGCGCCCCTCCTCCCCCCCCTCCCTCCCCCCCCCCTCCCTCCTCCTCCTCCTCCTCCTCCTCCTCCTCCTCCTCCTCCTCCTCCTCCTCCTCCTCCTCCTCCTCCTCCTCCTCCTGGTCTGCTCCAGCGTGGCCGGCCCCTCCATCGCGGCCGGGGCGCGCGGAGCGCGAGGGCCAATCCGCCCTGGCTGACGTTCTTAACGTCTGGTCTCAGGCATCTCGCTGGATGTTCTTTCCCCTCCACTCTGGCCTTGAGCCTCTCGTCACCGTCGGGAAGACGGAGGCGGGCGGATCCGGGATGTGGGGCGCTTCCGTCTTGGCAGGTTGGTTCTTCGCCACTGTGGTCAAGCAGGTCTGCCAGCTCGTGATAGGAGAAAGGTCGAACCTCGCCTTGCCGACCGGAAACGGGGAGGTGGACGAGGAGCCACAGAAGAGCAGGTCCACCAGCTGGCTGGTCTCTTTCCCCATCCTGTTCGGAGACATGTTCCACAACCTCTCGGACGGTCTGGTCCTCGGGGTCGCATTCAAGACGTGTGGCGCGTCCTTCGGGTGGAAGATCGCGTGGGTCACGGTCCTGCACGAGCTTCCTCAGGAGTTCTCCGACTTTGCCGTCCTGATCACAAAGGGGAGGATGGCCTGGCCCATGGCCCTCACCCTCAACTTCATGTCTGGGCTTTCGACGGTGATCGGGGCCATCATCACTTACTCCAGCGACGTGGGCTCCGGGGTGGAGGGAGCGATCCTCGCCGCGGGCGCCGGAGTCTACCTGTACGTGGCCACGACGGAGCTCGGCCCCGCGGTGGGAGGCCTGATGGGAGACCGCGCCCTCGGTTCCGTCGCGCGGCTCCTCAGCTTCGCGCTGGGCGCCGCGCCGATCGGCCTGGTGCTCCTGGACCACGAGCACTGCTACGCCCCGGTCGCGGAGGGCGAAGGCGGCGAGGCGGCGTCGGACGGCCACGCCCACGGCCACTGAGCCACCGGGGCAGGTGGAGCACGGCGACGCCCTCGCACGAGGGAGTGGCGAGGGTGGCCTTGGCGCGGGGCACAGCAGAGCCCGCCCCCGAGCTCTTTTTGCGGGCCAAGGGCCAATAACACCTCAAACCACATCCAACAGCACCGCCAGTCCGCCGTGGCGCTGGTGCTTCTCTGTTGTTTTTTGTTTCGCGCTCAGGCGCATTGAGCGGCTGATGCTCGGGCGATCTCCGAGCGACGCTGCCCACGAGGGGTGAGTACTTAGTGTGGTGATGACCGCTAGCGCTTCTGCTGGCACGTGAAGATTTCTAGCATTGCGATGCAGAATACAGAGGTTAGGTGTGTTAGACAGTGGATGCTTATCACAGGCTTTGCTGCACATCAGAGGAGGTGCGTTAACTCCCGATGCCATGTCTGGCATCGGTGTACGTGCACCCATAGACGTCTCCATCACAGGGATTGCTAGCCAGCCTTGTAAACCGTCCTTTCGTGAGCAATGCTCGCACACAATTTTGTTGGTGTTTGTGCCCCCATACCAACATGTCACACGGCAGCGCGGGGAGTAGGTCTCGGATTTGTACAGCCGTTCCTGGGCCGTGCCCGACGGCTTGCAGTATTCGCAGGTTTGCGGTGCTTTTCGACGGATCGTTTTTGGAGGGTCTTCGGCGTTTCTTTGAAGTGTCCGTATGTTGTTCGACGTTTCTCAAGTTTGTCTGATGGTTTGGGATATGTTCCGAGGAGGACGAGGAGGAGCAGCAGGAGGAGGAGGAGGAGCGCCAATAATGAGACAGCGAACATAGGAGCAAGAAGAGGCGGAGGGAGAGGGCATGAGGAGCCAGGAGGGGGGGAGGAGGCGAGAGGAAGATGGGAGACGGGAGAACAGATGAGGGAAGCAGGAAGAGGGATGAGGCAGGAGAGGGGAGGAGGGGTGGAGGGAAAAGGAGGGAGGGAGGGAGGAGGGAGCTTGGAGGAGGAGGGTAGAGGGAGCAGGGCGGGGGGGAGAGGGAGGGTGGAGGGGGGGAGGGAGGGGAAGGAGGAGGACCAGGAGAAGGAAGGGGGGGAGGGACGTGGGAGGGAGGGCACCCCTCGCCGTTCTGGCCCCGCTCCTGAGGAGATCGGGGAGCGGTACCACGCCTTCAACGACATGGAGTGCAAGGCCGCGTGGCCGTTTCCGTTCCGCCGCTGGAGGACAAACCCAGAATGGAGGAGGAGGAGGAGGAGGAGGAGGAGGAGGAGGAGGAGGAGGAGAGGATGGAGGAGGAACAGGAGGAGCAGGAGGAGGAGGAAGGACGAGGAAGGGTGAGGAGGGACGAGGAGGGACGAGAAGGGACGAGGAGGTAGAGGAGGAGGAGCAGGCTAAGGAGCAGGAGGAGGAGGAGGAGGAGGAAGAGGGAGAAGACAGGTAACTAGGACGACGACGATGACGACGGCGACGGCGACGGCGACGGCAACGGCGGCGGCGACGGCGGCGGCGACGGCGACGGCGACGGCGACGACGACGACGGAAGAGGCTTTACCCGGGCTGCCCGAATATTCTGGGCTGGGTGCTCTCCAGGACAGGCCTGGGACCAAGAAGAAACATCCCAAGGTAATATGATCTTTTTCTAATTCATTGTTTTGCCGATCGGAGCGGGCCCTCACCCCCCCCTCCCCCCCGGAGTAGATCTTGGCTGTTTTTGGCGTCTCTTTCAAGCAGGCGGAGTCTCTCCCCCACAAGACGCACTGCTGCAAGCAGTCGCCTTCAGCAGGGGTCCGGAGCCAGACATCCCCTCCCTCCCCCCGCGTTCCGCCCAAGGTGGAAACGCCGAAAAAGAAAACGTTCACAAGCCCAGGGTTCCACCTTAGGGTCCGAAGCCAGACATCGTGGTCTGGAGGGTCAGCAGGGGTCTGGAGCCAGACATTCCCCAGGGGTCCGGAGCCAGACATTTCCCCGTTCCGCCCCATGTCGAAGCGCTGAACAAGAAAACGTTCACAAGCTCAGGGTGCCCTCCTGAGCCCGTTCGGCTCCTCCTCCTCGTCCTCCTCCTCCTCCTCCTCCGAGTCTCTGTGCGGCAGGGGTCCGTGCTTGGACTCTTGCTCGAGGCCATTCCCATTCCCATTCCCTCCTCCTCCGCCTCCTCCTCCTCCTCCTCCTCTGCGGGGCGGCGGCGACCCCGGAGCTCTGGGCGCCGCACGCGTCTCGCAGTGGGCGATATTTTGTGCCTTGTCCCGCGGGCCCCGGGGAGCATGAGAGATCGATCCGGCTCGAGCAGCGCAGCAGGAAGGTGGAGTTTGTCGGACGGGTCGGGGGTGGGCAGACCGCCTACCCTGACACGTCGATTGAGGAAGTGGCCGTTTTCGGTTCGCGAGAGGGCGTTGCGGCCGTCTTTTTTGCGGGTCCAGGTCCGTCGGTTCCGGTCCCAGGCCGTTTTCACTAAGGGGAGGTTTACTGAAGGGAGGTTTGTCCACCGCCGAACGAGGCTGGGACGAGGAGAAGTCCATTCCAGAGCGTCCTGGAGCGCTCTCAGAGCGTTCTCAGAGCGGTCCAGGTCGCTTTGAGGGGAAGGATCGATCCAGCCCGAGCAGCGTAGCTCCAAGAAGGAAAAAGGCCATAAACATACAAACTCTTGGCGCTCCGCGCGGATTTCTTGGATCCGCGCTGGGCCCCCCGGCGGCGCCTCTGGCGCCGCCCCTGGCGGGCCCCGCGCGCGAGGGAGGAGGGTCCAGCGCAGACCCAAGAAATCCACGCGGAGCGCGAACAAATTATGTTTATGCTGCTTTTTCTTTCAATGCGTCTGTTTACGAGCGTTCTCAGAGCGTTCTGGAACGCTCTGAGAAGGCCACAGCGTCCGAGGCATCCTCCAGAACCGCCAGACATCAGAGATTCTCGATACATCCTCACCGAATTGCCCTCGTCCGGGCATTGTCTTAGTTCGGGGTTCTGTTATTTGTGCGATTTGTTTGTTTTTTCCAGAAAAAGGCTGGGGCCCAGGGTTCTCTTTTGGCCGGTTAAATCCCCCAGCCTCGAATTGCGTAGGGCCAGTGAATCTATTCTGCTACAGATGACTGGGTCGCGTAGCGCCAGCGAATTAAACAGTTGAGGATGCCCCGAGCGAAGCGCTGGTTTCTGAAATTCCGATCGATAAAACACATGGTGAAGTAAACATTTTTGTTCGTGGCGGATTTCTCGAGCGAAACGCTTGTGTTTCAGAATGTGTTGAGGATGTCTCGAGCGAAACGCGTGTTTTGTGTTATATTATAGACTGTTCGTTTCCAGGGGACAAGAATTCAGAGAATTTCTCTGGTGAAATGCCTGTTTTCACGTGCCCTGGTCTTAAGGATGTCTCGAGCGAGACGTTTGCTTTCACGCGCCCAGGTTGCCCAGGCAGATGTTTAGCATGAGGACCTGTTGAGGAAATCTCGAGCGAGACGTTTGTTTTCATGCGCCCAGGTCGCCCAGGCTGATGTCTCGCCAGAGGATTTGCTGAGGATGCCTCGAGCGGGACGCTTGGTTTCACGTGTCCAGGTCGCCCAGGCGGATGTCTAGCATGAGGATTTGTTGAGGATGCCTCGAGCGGGACGCTTGTTTTCACGTGTCCTGGTCGCCCAGGCGGATGTCTAACATGAAGATGTGTTGAGGATGTCTCGAGCGAACCGCTTGTCTTCACGTGTCCAGGTCGCCCAGGCGGATGTTTAGCATGAGGATGTGTTGAGGATTTGTTTAGCGAAACGCTTGGTTTCACGTGTCCAGTCGCCCAGGCGGATGTCTAACATGAGGATTTTGGCAGGTTGTCTCGAGTGAACCGCATGTTTCCACGCGTCAAGGTTGCCCAGGCAGAGGTCTAGCATGAGGAGGAGCGAGACGCTTGGTTTCACGTGTCGAGGTCGCCCAGGCGGATGTCTAACATGAGGATGTGTTGAGGACGTCTCGAGCGAACCGCTTGTTTTCACGTGTCCAGGTCGACCAGGCAGATGTCTAACATGAGGATTTGTTGAGGATGTCTCGAGCGAGCAGCTTGTCGCAGTAGAGTGCATCGCAGTCCAACCCCGCCAGTCCGTGGGGTGTCTCCTGGCGCGCTGGCGCGTCCCCTGGCGCGTCCTGTGCGACGTTTCGGCGTGACGCGCCCTGGATCGTCCTCAGTCGCGTTTCTTGGCTCGTCCCCATGCATTTTCCCCTGCCCGTTCCGTGTCGCGCCCCTTGTAACGTCCCTTGGCGTGACGTCCTCTGGCCGCCCCATGGCACGCGCCTCGGCACGTCTTGTGGCAGGCCCCTGACACGTCCAGGGCACGTCCGCTGACACGTCTCCTGACACGCCCCCTGGTGCATCCCCTATTGCGCCCCTGGCACATCCTGTGTCGCGTCCATGAGCCTGTCATCCAGCACGGCGCAGCACAACGCAGCCCTCGGCACGGTACGCCAAAAAGATCGAGGACTTCAGCGTTGCAAGTGCCCGTCGCCCGATCAGGTGTCTTCAGAACGTTGCCATGCCTCACTGTTCTGTCTTCCTTTCCGTCTACCCTTAAGTCGGGCATGTCCCTCTACAGAAGGAATAATTATCCAAGAATAGTCCACAAAAATAAACAGGGGACGAGTTGTCGACTATTTTGTCATTTTTTTCGTTTTCGTTGACTATTTTTGATTTTTCCTCCAAAAGAGGACATGCCCGACCTAAGTTTATAACCGATCCCATCCACATCCACACCCTGATCCCAGCATCCCGCCACCCCAGTTGGGGGTCTGCCCCTCGAGATTCGAAGGGAACAGCTTGCGCCCCCATCGGGGGGGTTGGGGAAGGGGGAGGGCAAATTAGCCAGTGGGGCCCAGGCCACGCCCGTGGGAGTGGGGATAGGGATCGGTTAAAGTTAAGTCGGGCGTGTCCCTCTACAGGAGGAACATTCAAACATGGTGAGAAAATGATCAGGGGACGATTTTTTAAAGTATTTGTTTGTATCATTTTGGAGCATGTTTGTGGTATTTTTTTTTCTCGTTCAAAATCCGCCTGTAGGGGGACACGCCCGACCTAAGGTTGAAGGATGCTCATGATCTCGCGGTCCGGTCCGGCGCTCGAGCCTGCCGGCTGGTGGCAGGCGCTCAAGACCGAGATGGAGGGCCTCCAGGCGGGAACGCCGCATGGTCGTCGTCGTCGTCGTCGTCGTCGTCGTCGTCGTGGTCGTCGTGGTCGTCGTAGTCGTCCGTCGTCGTCGTTACCGATGCCGGCGCTCGTCCCGGAAGGCCCTCGCCGCCACGGCCAGATTCTTCTCGGGATGCTGGTCAGAGCGCATCCCGGGATTCGGTAGCCAATCATGGGAGCTTAGTGTACCTCGGGGGACCCCAATCGGGGTGGTGACCACACCGTGCGGTGAGTCGGTGGGGATTCGAGGTCACCGCACGGTTTTGAGACTCGGGTCGTTCTCTCAGGACGTCTTGGGCGACTGGGGCATCCGAGGTCCCAAAACCGTGCGTTAACGGACCGTGCGGTGAGGTCTTGGGGGATTTCGAGGTCACCGCACGGTCTGTCACCGCACCGTTTCGTGACTCCAAAGAGCTTAGTGTACCCCCGCAATTCTGTCTTTAGCGTCGACTAGCGTCGAGCAGCGTCTGGAGTCGATGAGGTAGTGCCGATTTAGCTTCGATGAGCGTCGATTAGTGTCGATTTAGCGTCGATTCGCGTCGATTTCGCATCGATTGGCGTCGATTCGCAAGAGCCGACAAGATGGTATGGGAAGTTCCCGTGAGTTGCCACCGAACCGGGATAGGTCCGGGGAGCGGCGACATCGTTGTTCTGCCCTTCCAAAGCGAGGGTCGGCTACGCCGCGATCGCTTCCAGGGCCAGTTGCAGCCCTCCCCCCCCTCATCCCTCCCTCCCTCCTCCCTCCCTTCCTCCTCCTCCTCCTCCTCGGAGCCCCTCTGCGGTACACATCGCCGATTCCAGGTCGATGCGCCCCCCCACACTACAGTCAGCCCGCATGGTAAGGTTGGGCAACCCTCCCACGGGCACCCTTGCATCCCTGCCCCTTCGGCCCATCCCTGGCGACTCTCGCTAGCCAGCCTCGTTCGGAAAAGGCTAAGGTGGCCCTCCAGTGCCCTTGTATTCTTGCCGCGCATCCTTATGAGGCGATTTGACTGTATGGGGAAAAGCATGGAAGCCTCGCGCGGCGCGCGATAGTTGCATTATCTAGTCGGGCATGTCCCTCTACAGGAGGAATATTCAAAGATAGTGTAAGAAAATAGTCTGGGTACGATATGTCGACTGTGTTCCCAACTTTCGCGTCTTTGGGACTCTTCTGAACTTCTCTTCCAGAATCCGCCTGTAAGAGGACATGCCCGACCTAAGACTACGAGGCAAAGCACGGAAGCCTCGCGCGGCGCGCAATAGTTGCATTATCTGGTCCACACGCCCGCCCGGCAATGCATCACCACCCACCAGACCATCCCAACCCCACCCGACGGCCTCAATTTGCCATTCACTTCCAGTGGGGAGGGGATCGGGGAACATGAAAAAACACATCTGAAGCCCGCACCCCCCCAACCCGAAATTCGGATCTTCGGGTTGGGTTGGGGTGGTCTGGTAGGTCGTCACCGTCTGCGGCGCACATCGCCGATTCCAGGTCGATGCACCCCCCCTGACTATGAGAAAAAGCACGGAAGGCTCGCGCGGCACGCAGTACAGTCAGCCCGCATGGGAAGGTTGGGCAACCCTCCCACGGGCACCTTTGCATCCCTGCCCCTTCGGCCCATCCTTTGGCGACTTTTCGCTGCGTTCGACGAACGCGAACGTGGCCCTCCAATGCCCCTGCCTTCTTGCCGCGCATCCTCATGATACGGGGCGACTGTAAGAAGAACAGCATGGAGGCCTTACGCGGCGCGCAGTAGTTCTAAGTCAGGCATGTCCCTCTACAGGAGGAATATGAAAAAATAGTCAAAGCATAGTCTGGGGACGATTTGTGACTATGTTTGACTGTTGTTGAGTATTTGTTGGACTATTTTGTATCGTTCGTCCAAGATCCGCCTGTAGGAGGACATGCCCGACCTAGCGCTAGTTGCCACAGTTATCTGGTCCACACGCCCGCCCCGTAGCTCATGCACGGAACGGCGTTCGTGCGTCGACTCTCCGAGGCAAGTCCGGCAGAAGTCCGGCCGTCACGCAGCGGCAGTCCGGCGCGGAGCTCGTGCACAGTGGCTACTGGTCGGATACAGCCAGGACCCCAGGAGAGGGGACCCGGTCAGTAGTAGGGCCCTGGGGCCCCTAAATTGGCCAGAGTCACTACACCAGGTCTGCCGTAGCTGGTGTTGTTTCGGGTGACGGCGGTTCCGGTTAGTGGAAGGGCGTCTTCCAGTACATGCCAGTCGTTGAAAGTAGGTATTTTTGGATTTCCAGATCCCAGAATACTTCAAGCGCCTTCCTATTTCAAGAATCGACACGCTTTTGCTGTGTTTTGTTATTCCCTGGGGAGGCCTGGACCCAATCAACTCAATCCGCCTTCCTACTTCATGTTTTTACCTACTTCTTCCGACCGACGTGTACACATCACCAAACCAGGTCCCTCTGAACCCAGCTCTGCCAACGCCCGATTCAAGGGGCCCGCGCGAGGCCTCCGGTGTTCTCTCTTCATAATTCAGGAGGAAATCGCACGCACAGACAAAGAGAATCGTCGACTCCTAGAAAAGATGGAGGGCACGAAAGATGTGGCAAGTGGGGGGGGGGAAGACGAGCATCCGGAAAACATGGGGAATCTTGGGATTTGTCTCTATTGATTTGTACGTCCCTGGGCCCCGTCCAAAGCCGCTGAGCCACCAGTCACCCCGCGGCGCTCCCTCTCGCCAGGTGCACAAGGCCGGTAGGGTGCGGCTGCCGCATTTCTACCGCAAGGGGCTGTACAGCCACTGGGAGTTCAACGAGAAGGCTCCCCTCGGCGCCGCTCGCGCCACGTCTCATAGCGCCGACATCGCAGAGCGGATTTCGTTCGGAAAACGACAGGATGGGCCCGGCTTGTCCTGGACAGTTTCGTTCTGGATTTCGAGGTGAATTTCGTGCGGATTTTTGTTTGCCAGGAATGAAAACTAAAAGAAGTCCACGCGAAATTCACTTCGTTTTTCACTCGCCGCTTCAGGGTGTTGCCTTGGCAGAAATCCACGAATCCGCTGCACCACGTCTGCAAGGTCGGTGCAGTGACTCGTCGTCGGCGTCCACGTCATCGTCGTCATCGCCGTCGCCGTCGCCGTCGTAGTCGTCGCTCTGGAGGTCTCTGGGAAGTTCTCGTCGCCACGGCTGGGCGCGGCCCGAAGAGCTGGTCAGGATGGACCCCGGGAGGGGCCCCGGGGCAGGTTGTGAGCGCATTCGGGTCGGGGGCGGGGCGGGGGGGGGGACGGCGTTCCAAGAAGGCTCTATGATCTTTAGGATGAAGTCGGCCATGCCCCTCTACAGTGGGAAGATTCAACAATAGTCCAAGAATAGTCTGGGGACGATTTTCCAATTATATTTGTTGACTATTTCTGAGCATTCTTGGGCCATTGTTGATCTTCCGTCCAAACTCCGCCTGTAGGGGACATGCCCGACCGAACTTTAGGACGTGTGTGAGCCCGGTCTGCCGCTCAGATCCACCGATGGCCTGCAGCCTGTGTCGGCCATTGCTACGTCGCCTGCCCCGCGTTGAAGGGATCCAGTGGACAAGCACGCGTTGGCGCGAACCAGGAAGACATGATGCGGCCGACCCGTGCGGGAGATGGATAATGTCGGTCACCCCCAGGGGCGCGAAGATAGCTGCGCTTCGCGCGTCGCGGTCTGGGCCAGAGCGCCTGTCCTTCTCCAGGGGGGGCGGCGCGAGGGCGCGAGGGCGCGAAGTGAGGTCGCCCAGATGATGATACACACGCGGCCGAGCGTGTGTCTCCGGCGCTCGGCTAACCTGCTGCCGTGCACGCCCGGCTTCCGCAGATCTATAGCCGGCGTCGAAGGATGCGCCATGGGGGGGCGATCAATTTGGGGGCAGCGAGGGCTGCCGCAAAGGGGTCCTTTCTGGGGCCCTGGAGAGGCCCTGTGGGGCCCAGAAGGGGGCCTTTAGGACCCGAAGTGGGCACCTTTCTTCCTCCCCATTTATCGCCCCCCCCCCCCCGTTCACTTTGCATGTCCCTCTACAGGAGGAATATTCAAAAAGAGTAGTAAAAATAGTCAGGGGACTATTTTTGTGACCTTTTTTCGACTCTCTTTGAGCATTGTTTGATTTTTCCCTACCCTCCTGCGTTGGGTTCTCGTTTTGAATCGAGCAGCTGCGGTCGCGACTCCTCTCCTCTCCTCTCCTGCCCCCTCCTCCTTTCCTCTTCCCCCCTGCTTCCTACCTCGCTCGCTCCTGCGTGCCAGTTTGTCTCCTACCTCACCGTCCCTGGGGGGCTGCGATCTGCGAAGCTGTCGCCACTTTCGAGGGCTGCTGGGGGGCCCAGCGGAGGGAGGCCCAGCGGAGTGGGGTCATACGCAGATTCAGATTAGACCTCGCCATCCCTGGGGGGCTGCGATCTGCGAAACTGTCATCACTTTCGAGGGCGGCTGGGGGGCCCAGCGGAGTGGGGTCATACGCAGATTCAGATTAGATCTCGCCATCCCTGGGGGGCTGCGATCTGCGAACCTGTCACCACTTTCGAGGGCTGCTGGGGTGCCCAGCGGAGTGGGGTCATACGCAGATTCAGTGTAGACCTCGCCATCCCTGTGGGGCTGCGATCTGCGAACCTGTCATCGCTTTCGAGGGCTGCTGGGGGGGGCAGCGGAGTGGGGTCATACGCAGATTCAGATTAGACCTCGCCATCCCTGGGGGGCTGCGATCTGCGAAACTGTCGCCACTTTCGAGGGCTGCTGGGGGGCCCAGCGGAGTGGGGTCATACGCAGATTCAGATTAGATCTCGCCACTGCGATCTGCGAAACTGTCGCCACTTTCGAGGGCTGCTGGGGGGCCCAGCGGAGTGGGGTCATACGCAGATTCAGATTAGACCTCGCCATCCCTGGGGGGCTGCGATCTGCGAAACTGTCACCACTGTCGAGGGCTGCTGGGGGCCCAGCGGAGTGGGGTCATACGCAGATTCAGATCAGACCTCGCCATCCCTGGGGGGCTGCGATCTGCGAATCCTGTCACCACGCTCGAGGGCTGTTGGGGGGCCCAGCGGAGTGGGGTCATACGCAGATTCAGTGTAGACCTCGCCATCCCTGGGGGGCTGCGATCTGCGAAACTGTCACCACTTTCGAGGGCTGCTGGGGGGCCCAGCGGAGTGGGGTCATACGCAGATTCAGTGTAGACCTCGCCATCCCTGTGGGGCTGCGATCTGCGAACCTGTCATCGCTTTCGAGGGCTGCGGGGGGGGGGGGGGCAGCGGAGTGGGGTCATACGCAGATTCAGATTAGACCTCGCCATCCCTGGGGGGCTGCGATCTGCGAAACTGTCACCACTGTCGAGGGCGGCTGGGGGGCCCAGCGGAGTGGGGTCATACGCAGATTCAGATTAGACCTCGCAATCCTTGGGGGGCTGCGATCTGCGAAACTGTCGCCACGTTTGAGGGCTGCTGGGGGGCCCAGCGGAGTGGGGTCATGCGCAGATTCAGATTAGACCTCGCCATCCCTGGGGGGGCTGCGATCTGCGAAACTGTCGCCACCTTCGAGGGCTGCTGGGGGGCCCAGCGGAGTGGGGTCATATGCAGATTCAGATTAGACCTCGCCATCCTTGGGGACTGCGATCTGCGAACCTGCCATCACGTTCGATGGCTGCTGGGGGGGCCAGCGGAGTGGGGTCATACGCGGACTCAGATTAGACCTCGCCATCCTTGGAGGGCTGCGATCTGCGAAACTGTCGCCACGTTCGAGGGCTGCTGGGGGGCCCAGCGGAGTGACGTCATACGCAGATTCATATTACCCCTCATTCCATCCTTCTCCTGCCCCTCGTTCCTGTCCCCGTTATTCGTCGAGCCTGGGGCCTCGATCCTCGTGTTTTCGATCGTCGTCCTGTGAGGCGTGCAACGCATGTCCATCCCATGTAGTTTGCGCAGCAATTCACCGCGTCTACACTGTCGTTGTTCCTGCTAATGGTGGGTGGCCTACTCCTCTTGCCACTTGATGCACATGGGTGGGGTACGTCGCAAGGTAATTCCCAACCCTCCTGCGTTGGGTTCTCGATTTGACTAGAGCAGCTGCGGTCGCGACTCCCCTCCTCTCCTCTCCTGCCCCCTCCTCCGTTCCTCTTCCCCCTGCTTCCTACCTCGCTCGCTCCTGCGTGCCAGTTTGTCTCTTACCACACCATCCCTGGGGGGCTGCGATCTGCGAAGCTGTCGCCACTTCCGAGGGCTGCTGGGGGGCCCAGCGGAGTGGGGTCACACGCAGATTCAGATTAGACCTCGTCATCCCTGGGAGGCTGCGATCTGCGAAACTGTCACCACTTTCGAGGGCTGCTGGGGTGCCCAGCGGAGTGGGGTCATACGCAGATTCAGATTGGACCTCGCCACCCCTGGGGGTCTGCGATCTGCGAAACGGTCGCCATTTTCGAGTGCTGCTGGGGGGCCCAGCGGAGTGGGGTCATACGCAGATTCAGATTAGACCTCGCCATCCCTGGGGGGCTGCGATCTGCGAATCCGTCACCACTTTCGAGGGCTGTTGGGGAGCCCCGCGGAGTGGGGTCATACGCAGATTCATATTATACCTCGCCATCCTTGTGGGGCTGCGATCTGCGAAACCGTCACCACTGTCGAGGGCTGCTGGGGAGCCCAGCGGAGTGGGGTCATGCGCAGATTCAGATTAGACCTCCACTTTCGAGGGTTGTTCGGGGCCCAGCGGAGTGGGGTCATACGCAGATTCAGATTCGACCCCGCCATCCTTGGGGGGCTGCGATCTGCGAAATTGTCGCCACTTTCGAGGGCTGCTGGGGAGCCCAGCGGAGTGGGGTCATACGCAGATTCAGATTATACCTTGCCATCCCTGTGGGGCTGCGATCTGCGAAACTGTCACCACTTTCGAGGGCTGCTGGGGGGCCCAGCGGAGTGGGGTTGTGCGCAGATTCAGATTGGACCTCGCCATCCCTGGGGGGCTGCGATCTGCGAAACCGTCACCACTGTCGAGGGCTGCTGGGGGGAGGGACGGGCAGCGGAGTGGGGTCATGCGCAGATTCAGATTAGACCTCGCCATCCCTGGGGGGCTGCGATCTGCGAAACTGTCACCACTTTCGAGGGCTGCTGGGGGCCCAGCTGAGTGGGGTCATACGCAGATTCAGATTATACCTTGCCATCCCTGGGTGGCTGCGACATGCGAAACTGTCGCCACTTTCGAGGGCTGCTGGGGGGCCCAGCGGAGTGGGGTCATACGCAGATTCAGATTAGACCTCGCCATCCCTGGGGGGCTGTGATCTGCGAAATTGTCGCCACTTTCGATGTCTGCTGGGGGGGCCCAGCGGAGTGACGTCATACGCAGATTCAAATTACCCCCCATTCCATCCTTCTCCTGCCCCTCGTTTCTGTCCCCGTTATTCTTCGAGCCTGGGGCCTCAATCCTCGTTCTTTCGATCGTCGTCCTGTGAGTCGTGCAACGCATGCGCATCCCACGTAGTTTGCGCAGCAATTCCCCGCGTCTACACTGTCGTTGTTCCTGCTCATGTTGGCCTAGTCCTCTTGCCACTTGATGCACATGGGTTGGGTACGTCGCAGGGTAATTTAATGTTTCTTCCAACATCCGCCTGCAGGAGGACATACCCGACCTAACATTATTACGCGCCCAACAGCGCGTCGTTCCTTGTGCCAGCCCAGCCGCGCGTGTCGCCAGCTTCCGGGAGGAGGAGGCAGAGGCGGAAGAGGAGGAGGAGGCGGAGGAGGAGGAGGAGGAGGAGGAGGAGGAAGAGGAGGAGGAGGAGGAGGAGGAGGAGGAGGAGGAGGAGGACGACGACGAGACGGCGGAGCAGGAAGAGGAGGAGGAGGAGGAGGAGGAGGAGGAGGAGGGAGGAGGAGGAGGAGGAGGAGGAGGAGAGAAAAAGGAGGACAAGCGAGGAGGGAGGAGGAGAGGAGGAGGAGGAGGAGGACAACGCGAGGAGGAGGAGGCGGAGGAGGGGGAGGCCCTGGGGCCCTCTGGGCCTCGCGAGGGGTGCTCTGGAGGCCGTGTGGGCCACCCCGAGAATCCTGGGGGTACCTTCGGCCAGGGGCACTTCCAGCAGCACCCGACGAGCAAGAAAACCTTCACGTGTCAGCGGGCCTTCGGGCCGAGTGCGCGGCTCTGGGATTCACGGGTGGTTCTCCGAGGACGTCTCGGGCGCCGGGGCCCTTCCGGGGTAGTTGCCGTAGGGTTTTCGTTGGGCGGGATTTCGTGGCCACCAGGGAGGCAACCCAGAGGAGGAACCGACGACGACGCCGCGACGCCGACGACGACGACGACGCCGCCGCCGCCGCCGCCGCCGACGACGACGACGACGACGACGACGACGACGACGACGACGACGACGACGACGACGACGTCGCCGCCGACGACGACGACGACGACGACACGCTCTGTCCGCACCGCTTTGGGAGCACCAGGTCGTCAGGCAGCCCTCTTCCGAGCATTTTCTTTGGGCGGAGGGCAAAGGGTGAAATCTGAAATGCCGCTTCGATGGCTCTTCGAGGCTCGAATCCGCAAAAGGTGAAACACAAGACGGGTGGATATTCGGGGCGCAAGAGCACATGTGGATTTCACCCTGAGTCCTCCACCCAGAAAAACGCCCAGCTGAACCAACAACACACACCCATACCCATAGGGGGATCGGAGAGGGCCATGGGTGCGTGTTGTCGGATGGGGGCCCCCGCTCGAACGGGAGCGTTCCCCAGGGTCCGACCACCCGCATCCATAACCATAGCCAGTCCTCCTCCCAACGGCCCCCCTATGTGTATGGGTGTGATCCAACTGACGAATGGAGCTACAAAAGGCTGAAGCGGGGACGACGCCTATCCCAGCGACGCGTCTGGCCATCTTCGTGCCCTCGCTCTGCCCCTCCCCTCGCCAGCGAGTTGGAGGTAACTCCCTCGCCCCTCTCCCCTCGCCCTCGCCCCCCCCCCTTTGTGTCTTCGCTCGTCCTTCTTGGAGCGAGGGCAGATCGCCCCCGAGCGCCCCGCGAGCCGCTGCAGAGCGTGCGCCGGGAGCGCGCCGCGCGGGGCGGCGCCCGGCGCCCGGTGCGTCCGCCGATGCCCGCCGGCTCTCGGAGGGCTCCCCGGTGCTCGCCCTCGTCCGGGTCCTCTCGGCGGCGACGGTTCGAGCAGTGGCGAAGCGTCTTGGCTCGCCTATATAGCCCTACCGAGCACTGTTCTAAGAGCCTTTGGTCAGAG